TATTCTAATGACTGCCTCCAGGTACAAGCATAGGTTTTGCTAAGCACAATCATGTGTTCTGTGATTTCCATTCTTTTCAGAGTTAGCCAAAGTTTGTTGTCATCCACACAGTCAGACATATTTGCATAGTCAATGAAACACAGATAGACATTCCTCTGGTACTCTGCTTTCAGCTAAGATCCATTTAACATTGGCTAGAATATTCCTAGTGCTATGGCCTCTTCTAAATCCAGCCTGCACTTCTGACAGTTCTCTGTTGGTGTGCTGTTCAGCTGTTTTTGTATAATTTTCAGCAGGATCTTGCTTGAATGTGATATTAATGGTGTTGTTTGATAATTTCCACACTTTTTCAGATTACCTCTTCCCAGCTAGTTAGCCAGGTAGTTGTCCAGATTTCTTGACACAACCTGGTGAGTGCATCCAGGGCAGCATCCACTTGCCGAAATAAGTCAATTGGTATGCTGTCAATTCCTGGGGCCTTTTTTGCCAATTCCTTCAGAGCAGCTTGAATTTCCTTCTTCATCACCAAAGGCTCTTGATCATATGTTGTTTCATTAAACTCTTTTGTGACAGCCAATTTTTTCTGGTATAGCAACTCTGTACTACTTCCATCCTATTTTGATGCTTCCTGGGCCATTCAGCATTCTGCCAACCGCATCCTTAAGTATTGCAACTCAAGGCCTGAATTTGTTCTTCAGTTCCTTCAGCTTAAGAAATGCTGAGTTTATCCTTTTCCATTTTCCAGTTCCAGCTCTTTGCATATTTCATGATAATACTTTGCTTGTCTTCCCGTGCTGCCCTTTGAAATCTTCTGTTCAGTTCCTTCACAACTTGATTTCTTTTGTTTTGTCTTTTCAGTGCTCTAGTACAATATTCATAGTCACTTCTGACAGCCAGTTTGATCTTTTCTTCTTCCTTTGTCTTTGTAACAACCTTTTGCATTCTTCATGGATGGTATTCTTGATATTCTCCCACAACTCATCAATGTTCAAAGTCTCTAACCTGTTCCTGAGATAGTCTTTAAACTCAGGAGGGATAGGTTTAAGTTCAAACTTTGGTTCTTGTGGATTTGATTTTATTTTCTTTAGCTTCAGTTTGAATTTGCATATAAGTATTTGGTGATGTGATCCACAATAAGCACCTGGCCTAGTTTTCACAGCTGATATTGAGCTTTTCTAATGATTTTCCCCACATATGTAATCAATCTGATTCCTGTGTAGGCCATCAGGTGAGGTCAATGTGTATAGTCATCATTTATGTTTATTTATAAAAGGGATCTTCAACGAATAAATGATTGCACAGAATTCTATTATTTTGTCTCCAGCCTCATTTCTGTCAGCAAGTCTATGACCACCAATCCTTCTTCCTTGTTCCCATTTTTTGCATTCCTTTCACAGGTATCTTGGTTGCATGTCTGATTTTCAATTGCAACAGTTGGTAAAAGTCATCTATTTCCTTTTCTTTGGCTCTGGTTGTTGGTGCATATATTTAAAGGTAGTGGTAGTAAAAGGTCTTCCTTGTATATGTATGGATATTATCCTGTCACAACATTGTACTTCAAGATGAACCTAGAAATGGTCTTTTTAACTATGAATGCAACCCTTTTTCCTTTAAATATTGTTGTTGTAGAAAAAATATTGAATATATAATGTTTGCTCCAAAAGAACAAACAAACCTATCTTGGAAAAAGCATAGCTAAAATGGTCTTTAGAAGCAAGGAAAGTGAGAGAGATTCTATGTTATTGTTTGGTACTATTGAGTTGAGTACGAACCATAATGATCCTATGAACAACAGATCTGAACCCTATCCAATCCTGACATATTAGAGTTCACTACATCAGTCACCATGTCAGTTCACATGGTTGAGGGTCTTTCGTTCCTTTGCCAACCCTTTACATTTCTCAGCATGATGTTCCTCTCCAAGGAATAGCCCCTCCTAGCAACATGCCTGAAGTATGAGAGGCAAAACCTTATCATCTTTGCCTTCAAAGAGCACCCTGGCTGCACCCTCTCCAAGACATATTTGTTTGTTCTTTTGGTCACCCATGGTGACAATATGAACAAAAGATGTGAACACTGTATTATAACTATCATCATTTCTCTATCTTTATAGAGTTTCCAGAGGCATGTGGTTTAGGAAGTGGATGTCACTCCTGCTTCCAAACCTGGGAAGCTCAATCTGGGAGCTCCACCAAACACTGTCCACGATGGGTAACCATTATTGCATTTGATACAACAGTGGCACAGTGTTCAGCATCACAGAAACCCCAAGTTACTTCACTACAGCAAAATGACAGACCAGTATTGTACCACTTAAGAATGTTCATCCCAAACACAACACCATAATAAAAAACTATTAAACAGTCCACACCTGACCCTCAACTAAAACAAGAGTTTCTTCTAGAAGAACCTTCTAAATCACCTTCTAGAATCCAACCACTTCACACATGAGCCTCCAAACTGGAGACTTAGCCCAAGAACCTTTTCAATACAAAGCCAGCACACCAGGTCCTGGCTGACTCTAAACCAAGAGGCTTCCAGCCCACAGCTGATTATTAGCTAGATCTTGCAAATCCAATCAGCTCACATTCAATTGGGAAAGAAAAAACAAACAAACAAACCCACAAACAAACTGTCCAAACTCTAACCTCACCAAGACAAGAGAAACCAACTGCTTCACACATGAACATCCAAGCTGGAGAAGATGAGAGTAGGCTCCTACATTTTGGTGATGTTGTTGGTGTTTGAAAAAAGACAAAGTTTGAGAAAGCAGAGGATAAGCAAAGGAGAAGAAGGGAAGACCCTCAGGAGATTGATTGACACAGTGACTACAACAATGGACTAGAGAACAAAAGAGAATGTGAAAATGGTACAGATTTGGCTAGGATTGCATATTGTTGTGCATACAGTTTGACTAAATGACATCTAACAACAGCATTTATCCAACAATACAAAAATTTTTGATGTTATTATTTATGTGTGCTTCAGTTTGGTGTTGGAACTCGCATTTTAATTAATGTATCAGAAGCTATCTTTGACTTAGTATAATATATTGTTAATTTATGATCCAGGAAGTATTAAAAGAAGATGGAAGGAACATACGGAGTCATTATATAGAAAGGAATTGGCAGATACAGAGGAATTTAAAGAAATAACA